AGCTCTCTCACGCTTGGACTAACACTGATCTTCCACCTTATCACTGTAATCTTATTCCAAGTATTTGCCCCACCCAGACTGTACTGAATTTTCTAATGTGTATGATAACCAATCATGCATGCATCACATCAAATATTCAACCACTCTTTCACCAGTGTCCTTCTTCCTTTGTCCTTTTAACACATCTACATATCAGGGCTCAAGTTTCTCCTCTCCACTACAACATTTGCACCTTAGATTAGTCCTTGAAATGATAACAAATTAGAGAATAATATGGCAGAGTAGAAGCCAGCAACAAATCACAAGATCACCAGGACCTGGAAGCAAGACACCAGGTAAACAACAACTTATCAAGAGAAAGAGAAGAGCTCTGTAAATCAAGAAAGAACTGACAGAAAAGATAAAAATTACAGAGAAACTAAGGAAAATAAGAAAACACAAGGTAACCCCAGACAGGGCCAGAAGCCCCAGAAAAAGCCCACGGTTATTGTAAGTTTTAACAGTGTAGGGTTTTACACTAATAGTGACTCCTTTCCCTTGGCAGGCTAGCTTTGGAGAAGAAATCCACTGCAACATCTGCCATATTTAGGGGTGATATAATTGGAAGCCATTTTGTGAAAGGGTTTATTGTTTAAGACTGAACTACTCCTGGAAGCAGAATTCATAGAACATCCACACTTCATGGTCTCTAGGGTCACCCTACCACAGTGGCTGGGCTGGACACAGCTACGAGACAATCACAAAGAGGGGGAAGGCTACTCACAACCCCCCTGGGAACTTTACTGGCAGAGAGCTCAGGTAGTAGAGGACACAATGGTTGACAGCACCACCAGTTGTGGTGAAAAGCCATTCACATGTGGTCCTCTGGGTAGGCTGAGTGTGAAAGTGCTGGGAATTAGTCCTGTAAACTTCTTGGCTCCCCTTGCTACCTACTTCCATCACAGAACTCACTATCTATTTGCTTTTCCCAGCTACCAAATGCAACACTTGGACATTTGCCATATCCCAGGGTATATGGACAGAGGGGCCTCTGGAGCAAGTGTGGCACTTCACAAGCCCACAGTCTACAAAGCCAGTTGGTAAGAGCAGTGGCTCAAGATACACAGAAGGCCAACAACAAACATGAAAAGCCCCTAAACTGAATACAGCCCTGAGGCAGACAACATACCAGTGACAGGCTCCATCCTGTGGGAAAGGAGGGACAGGACTCAGCATTCGGACAGCAAAAAGTGGCTGTGGAAACATAACAGGCCTCAGTTGTGACTCACTATCTCTCCCCTATACCTGGTAGATTCTAATATCTGGTGGCCCTGGAAAGAAACTATCCACCAACCATCTCAACATGGAGGACTTTTTTGGACTCTTCGCTCCTTGTCTTTGTTTTTTTGTTTGTTTTTCCTTTATCTTTCTTTCTTTTTGGTCTTTGCTACATTCTTTTTTCTTTTGCGTGTGTGTTTGTGTGTTTCTTTTACCTGATTCTATTTTTTTATCCTTTAATTGTATTTTTTATTTCACTTTTCTCTCATCTTTTCTTTCTTTCTCCAATTTTACTTGTTTTTGCTAGGTGTGGTGGCACACGCCTGTGATCCCAGCACTCAGGAGGCTGAGGCAGGAGGATCACCATAAGTTTGAGGCCTGCCTGGGGTACATAGTGAGTTCATGGCCAGCCTGAACTATATAGCAAGACCCTGTCTCAAAGAAAAAACAAAAAACATTTTTTTACTCTTTTTGCATTTTTCCCTTTCCCCACCCCGCCATTTGTTATTATTACTATTAACTTTTATTAATGTTTAGCTCTTTAGCTTACTCTATACAATTATTGGTGGTTTCTTTTCTATTGTTAATGGTGGCATAGTCATTGCCTTTAGTAAATTGTTATTATACGTCAATACATGGTTTGCCTTTGAGTCTAAATTATTATTACTGTGTATTGTTAAGAGTGGTATCAGTTTTGCTTTTAATTGGCTTTTACTGAATGTCATTTGTCTTTGGGTTGTCAACATTACTCAGGTTCATTTTCTCCTCTGTGAGTGGTGCTGGAAATTAAACCCTCAAAGGAAGGCTGAACACTGAAGAGACCCTTGAATAAAAGTAGAAGAGATATCCATCCCAACAGATGCAGAAATCTAAATATAGAACACAAGAAGTATGAAAAAACAAGGCAGCACAACTCCTCCAAATTTCCATAATTCATCAGGAAATGAATCCAAAGACATCAAAGTAGGTGAACTGACAAAAAATTCAAAGACTCATGTATAAAATGATTAATGACTTCAAAGATGGTACAAATAAACAGTTGAATGGAAGACAATGCAAGATATGAAGGAGCAATTCAACAAAAAGAGATTCTGAAAAAGAACCAAACAGAAACCCTGGAATGGGAAAGCACAGTGAGTCAAATCAAAAGCTTGGCAGAAAGTCTCACCAACAGATAGGACCAAAAAGAAGACGGAATTTCAGGGCCTGAAAATAAAGTACCAGAACTATTATATGCAGACACTAAGAAAGAAAAATAAACAGAAATCATGAAGAAAACATCCAAGAACTCTGGGACATGGGTAAAAAACAAAACTTACAAATTTTTGGTATAGAAGAGGGTGCTAAAGTTCAGACGAATAATACAGACTTCTTTCTTTTATTGCTTGCTCTTGCCTAACTGCTTTAGCTAAAATTTTAAGAACTATATTGAATAGGAATGATGAGAGTGGAAATCCTTGCTTCATTCTTGATTTCAGATGAAATGCTTTCAATTTTTGCCCATTCAGAATAACTTCGGTGGTGGGTTTACTGTATACAGCTACTAGTAGACTGAGGAGTAATTAGTCAATACCGAGTTTCTTCAGGCCTTTTATCATGACAGGATGCTGAATTTTTTCAAAGACTTTTTCTATATCTGTCTTTCTTGGTCACTATTCTAAACTTCACCACTTTCCTCAAGTCCCATTTCAGTTTAATATGTGGATCTAATTTTACTGAAACCCTAGACTTGCAATTTATATTCTACTAAAGCTAACTAATTGCTGGTCCCTAAATATACCTTTATTTCTTTGCACATACAATTAATTCCCTCTCCCTAGAATGCCCTCCGACAACCTGTCCAATGAAAAAGTTTTTACTTATTCTTCCGCAATGTAGACTCCTTCTCCTATGAGTATTTTCTGTACCTGCCTTTAGGTACAGAACTGATCATGGTGCATTGTAATTAATTAGTCACTATTTGTTTCTGCACAAGATTGTAAGCTCCTTCAAGGACAAGAAACTTTTTTTTCAGGTTTTTTTAATCCCAAACACCTAAGGAATGCTAGCTAACTACACAGTAACAGAATGAATTATTCCCACTAAAGTATAATTCCTTGGGCCCACGTTAGGTAAAAGAAATGAATATAGAGGAGACAAATTTATAAAAATCTTAACTAAGATCCATGTGGGTGCTTCACCAGTAAGGTCAATACTGAATTTTAGATTCATAATTCAAATGAAATGTTCTTATGTAAAATATACTTAACAGAAATCTTTTACTAGTAAGTTAACTAAACAGCTCCACGTTTGATAAACTTGAATAGTGAACTAAGCAAACTTAACCATATACTGGGCAATATAACTGATAGCATGTAAGTGTCATTCTAGCTCAACAACTACTCTGGATGATCAAGCCCTATAAAAACTCTGATGTTCACAAAAGACTCATCACAAATATCCTAATAGCACAAAAGACAAACTTACCGACAATGAAACCCAATCCTCAATACATCCTGCCTTCAACTCCAGATGTGCTTTTCAATAAGCAATTATTAAACTGCTTAGAGGCAATATGATCCTGGGTGGAAAAGTAGATCACGGACAACATAATGTTCCATATGTGCAGTTAAGATCACTAAAATAAATACATATGTACTTGGGAGAATATAAGGCAATAGACTCCAACTTCACAATGTTGGTTCATTTAAACAGAAGAAGGTCAAGAAACTGAAGAGGACAACATAGTTTATATTACAGTCATACCTTGGTCCTTAACTCTCTGCAACTTGTAGAATTTGGAACTCAGTGTATTTTGATCCAAAAATTCTGTCCTCATACTCATCACTTGTATTCAACACACTGGGTAGAACTTTCCAGCTAAAACAATTTGTTTGGCACTGTTTTTGATACTCATCACACCCACCGGAACCAATTAACAATGAGTACCACTGCACTGCCCAAATCCTTGTTTTCTCTGATAGATTCCCATATATTAAACATATGGACAGACAGAGGGAGAGTGGATTAAAAAGAGAATAAAAGAAAAAGAAGACGGAAAAAGGAAGCTAAAAGTGGGCCACTCATGGACCAATGATGAGAGTGTATGAAAAGCCAAGGATTTCTGAACCTGAGATAAGGTGACACTAAATGACACCCAACCTATAATCTCTGGATCAAACCCCAAAGTCACTCAACCAGGGTGTGTTTTTTTCTACATGTAATTCCTTGATATCTTCAACTGCAGTCCCAACAAATGGTCTCCAAGTGTGAAGTCGCAACCATCACCCCAGGCTTTCTGCTCAGGGTCATAGCTAAAAAGGGAGGGAGGAGTAAGACCACGGAAATGTACTGATTCACCCAGTGGCTCTCTGGGACCGATGACAATTCCCACAAGCCTCCAATAGGCGACTGTTGACTTTTCTTCATTCAGTACTTACTAAGTGTCTGCCACATGTCAAGTCTCATGACGAGCACTAGGACCCTCCAGACTCAGGACTGACACTTAGTGACTGAGTCCAGTCTATCACCTTTCAGAAAGCCCCAGAATCGACGCATTCCTCAGGCCCAAGAGTCACAACAACGTTTCAGGTGCTTTGTTGAATCCCTCACTCACACAAGCAAATACCAAAGCAAGTCACTCATAAAATGAGGTTATACATACTGGCTCCAAAGATTAAAAGACGACAAACCTCTAGGGAAAAATTCACACATCACTTCTTCGGCTGAAAGTATGTCTGTGAGGACTCTGGCATCCATCTTACCTGCAATCTCCAAGAGTGGGGGTCTGTGGTCTCCGTCCACCAGCTTCACGAAGCCAACCTGATTTCCGAAAGTGCCAATCCCTTGGAAAGGCAACGTCAGACATCTGCCCTGCAGGACATCTTCTACCGACTGCTTCAATTCCCAAAGCGCATCCACACCACTGGCAGGAGATAATCGCGTTTTCAGTAACGTATTAAGCAAGAACACATGCAAAACCAAATAAGGAACAAACTAAACCCTTCTAAAGGTAAAAACACCTTCTAGAGCTAACCCATATGATTAAGGCTAATACTGATTTTTAAATCAAAACCACAGGAGTGAATTAAATCTTGATGTAATTATAATTAAAGAGTATATGTAATTATAATTAAAGATATAAAAGTCAATACTATTTTATAGTTCATGAAGAAATTTTTACAAAGTAAATATTCCATACACAACTCAAAAAAGTTACTGATATATATCCCAAAAAAACACAGTACCTATAAAAGTTTATATTGTTTATGTGGAATGTTCTAAATGTTTGGTAAAACTACTAATTAATACACAGTACTTACTATTTGAAGGCACTCTATGAAAATATACATTATCTCTTAAAATATGGTTTTCTTTATAATAAGATAATACATTGTACTTGAATTCAAATAAAATATAAGCTTAATTATATGTCCCAACTGAAGGTACATGCTTGCTACAGTTGTTATTTAGCCTATGTTTATTTAGGTCTACCCTGTGTTTTCAAATCTTTATGGTTCTTTGTAAAAATAAATGTTTACTATATTATTAAATTAGACACTAAAAGATTTTGAATATTTTGAAAAGTAGGATCAATTATTTCCATCTTGAATTTTGGTATAGGTACTTTATTATGTGAAAATAAACTAAACTCTCACTAGAGGGCAGCAATTACTTACAAAAGAAATAAGCACACACTTGCAGTACAGAAAGGGCTTTCAAAGACCCTTCTAATAAACCATCATTAATTTAGAGTACATGCTGCTGAAGCAAGCACGGCCATCATTAATTTAAATTATCTCAATCAATGATCTGTTCACAGTAAAATGTGTGGGGGGGTATTTTCTTAGGTCTTTCATATTTCTAAATTAGTCTTCCTATAAAGTATTTAACTGATTTCCTGACTTTCTTACTCAGCTTCATTTCTCTGCTATGACATAAGGACAACACAGTGTTTTAGACCAGCCTTGTACACGTAACATTTCTTATTGTCCCTGCACATCTACTTAATAAATGCGACCTCACCTAATTGTATTTACAGTCATTTAAAAGGACTGCTAACTCAATACTGGCCCCCACTGTGCTCTGGGAGTTAAAGTATGAGATAGCAGGACAACCACTTTGGGCTCATCTGTCATAAACTGGGGAATTCAAGATGTTCATTTCAAAGGAAACTGTACGTCCAAGCAGGCGTGAGAAAGGCCAAGACTTTTCAGAGTGAATTCCATACATTATTTTTCTTTAAAGAAATACAAGCTGGGTGTGGTGGTGCATTGTATAATCCTAGCACTCAGGAGGCTGGGGCAGGAGGATCACCATGAGTTCAAGGCTAGCCTGAACTATACAGCAAGATCTTGTCTCAAAAAAATAAATTAACAGAACAGAATAGAATTCTAAGACTGGTCTATAGAAAAATTTATAGTAAAAAGATTTTTTTTAAAGTATATTCATATATAAAACAGAATTTTGAAGTTGGAATTCAGAACTAAAGCTTATATTTCAAATTAAGATAGGACAGCTATATTATCAAATCACCTGCTGGATGTGGCCTCTTGCATTTCTATCTTTTGTTTGTTTTGGTTCGAGGGAGGCTTTGAGACAGGGTCTTGCTATGCAGTTTAGGCTGGCCTTGAAACAGACCTTGAACCTTCAGCAATCCTCCCGTCCTAGTCTCCCAGGTGCTGGGATTACAGGCATGCACACCACACCTGGTACATATTTCTACTTCTCTTATCTACACTGTGAGGACTTAAATGACCTTAGGCAATATTTACCTGAATGAATTTCTGATTTAAAAAATATAGTCCCTGCATATTCCATATCTAATTCATTAACCAATACTTTATTAAACACTAACATATGATACTATGTTTTTAACAGTAAGAATAAATATAGGACAAGTAACTGACAATCCAGATAGCTTCCATATTACATAGGATAGGATCAAAGATTAGAGACTTTAAAAAAATCCTCCATACAAACAATGTCTTTCCTGAAAACAATCACTTTTACTCTACTCGGGTGCCCACACTGCAGCCACATCACCACTTACAAGCCGACACCTCTGCCCCTCCAGCATATGGTGGCCCTCTTCCAATCGCTGAAGGTCTTAAGAGAGAAGACCGAGGTCTTCTGAGAAAGTTCTACTTCAAGACTGCCTTTGGACTTGAGACTGTAACACTGGGCCAATTCCTTAAATAATTCTCCATACACACAGACAGACACGTCTGCTGGATAGCAAGATGGCCACCCCACTGGCTGTTTCCCTAGAGAACCCTGACAAATGCGCTGTTCTAACATTCACTCCCTGGGGCACACTTCTTTGGCTTCTCTTCTCGCAGGAACATCTATTTTTCCTTCTGACGGGCAAGGTGACAGCCAAGTGAGTCCATCTACAACTACTACCTACTTGAATAAATTAGTCTCTGCTCCTCTCTGCCCTGAGGGGGTACCCAAGACTGTTGTTAGGAAGACAGCTTGAGACAGAACAGAAGAACAAACTCTGAAGACATAGCTGATAATCACATGCAGCAGGATAGTCTGAGTTATCAATTTATTTTGTCTTCTCTCTTTCATTTTACTTTTTCTTCACCCTCCCCTAATCCAAGCCTTGTTCTTCATTCCTAAGGGGGACAGATATATCTAGGTATAAAACAGAAGTCATCTGCAATCATTCTGGCCTCAGCTTGGGTTTCATCAGCGGACTGTAGAGAAGTCGCAGGGCAAGGGCCACTGGCAGTCTCCCAAAGAACTGGGCGAACAGCAAGGTTTCCCACCCCAGACTGGAAAGCAGTGATCTGCTAGTCCACCTTTATCACGACCCCGGAATAAGAGTGGAGTGGGGTACCAGGACTCTTTAAGAATAACTGGGGTGAAACTGAAATTGTCCACTCCCCTAGTAAAACGGCAGCTCTGATGGCTACACTATAGTGCCTACCACATACCAGGCCCCATACTAAGAGCTTATACATGTACTGGTGGTATTATTTTCTCCATTTACTAAGACAGTCAGTGAATTGCCCAAACCAAACAACTAATAAAAGGTGGTTGAATGATAGTCCCAGAAGTTTTTCCTGGAATCCCAATCTAGAATGTAAAATCAAACTCCAGAGTGGTCACATAATTAATAAGGGCAAAAGAGCCGTGTAGGGCCAGGGATTTAGCTCAGTGGGACCACGTCTGCCTCAAAAGCACAAGGTCCTCAGTTTGATTTCCCATACCAGACAAAAAAAAAAAAAAACAGCTGTGTAACCAAGGGCTACCATTTGATAGTAATACAGTAAAAAAGTCTAGAAGAAAAATATTTAGGTAATTCTATATATTGATTATTAATTGGGATAAAGAATATTTCTTTCAAATTTCAATGACTTTGAGTTCTACTATGTTTATGCATATTGGAGTAATAATTTGAAAAATAATATCCAAGAGAGCTGTATTACTCACATGTTCACTTCATCTTCATTTAATAACTGCATCACTAGCAGGGTAATATGAAAGGAGCCATCGCCCACCATTGCTTTGGCCAGTCGCTTATCTTGTTGTATTACTGCATTTTGCAGGGCTTTAATTTCTCCTGTAATCTAATCACATGTACAAAAAATAGAGATGGGTCAGCAAGAGTTTTACGTAGCAAATTATAAATCAGGGAGAAAAACCATGCCAGGTGTGGTGAGGATCCTTGAGAGCTCAAGGCCAGCCTGGACTACACAGCGACTCCCTGTCTCAAGGCAGACAGGGAGAAAGGGAGGGAGAAAGACAGACAATCTCCAAAATCAGAACAATTCCAAGGTCACGTAACCTACTAATGCTGATTATCAGCTTGTTCCCACATATGCAAGATACTTGACTTAGAGAACTTTAACAGGAGGTACTCCTCTTTTGTTCTTCAGTTGCCCTGTGGTGGCTGCCTCGAGGTCCAGAAACATTTAAAAACATTTACCTTCCAGGTCATTTTGACTTTGGGGAAGAGCCAGAAGTTGCAGGGAGCCACACCCAGTGAATAAGGTGGATGAGGATGCACACCCTAAAGTTTTTAAGACCCTGACACTCAGCAGCAACATCACTGTAGTTTTTTGTTGGTTTGTTTGGGGGTTTTTTTTGGTACTGGGGATCGAACTCGGGGCCTTGCACTGCAAGGCAGGTGGCAGCACCACTGAGCTGAATCCCCAGCCCAACATCACTGTAGGGGTTTTTTTGGGTTTTTTTGTATTTTTTTAAATTAAATTCTTTTATAGGTACATTGTAGGTATACAACACAATTACATTTCTCATTGGGAATTGTACCTTTA